TTAAAGCATCTACTTTCTAATGATAAAGTTCGTTTTGAAATATCTTACTTAATTCTTGAGATAGAAATTGCTGAAGTTAATTGGAAATTTGTATCATATTTTGAATAACTTTAAAAATTCCTGAAAAATCGATTTCTTGGAAAATTCTTATGAAATTATTACCAATTACTAATTAAAGTATTTGTTTTCCAGCGATCAAGTCTGTTTTGAAATATGACGCTTAGCTCTCGAGATATAAATTCCTAAAGTTAATAAGAAATTTCTACCGTACTATAAGTAACTTTAAAAATTCTTGAAAAATCGAATCCTTGAGAAATTATTATGAAATTATCACCAATTATTAATTAAAGCACCCCCATTACAATGAACAAGTCCGTTTTGAAATATCTCTCTTAGTTCTCGAGATATTAAGTATTGAAGTTAATATTTACGTTTTTTTGAGTAACAGTAAAAAATTCATAATAAATCGATTTCTTGGAGAATGGTTACAAAATTATCATCAATTTCTAATTAAAGCATCTACTTTCTAATAATACAGTCCGTTTTGAAATATCTTACTTAGTTCTTGAGATATAAATTGTTGAAGTTAATTGGACATTTTTACCATATTTTGAATAACTTTTAAAATTCCTGAAAAATCGATTTCTTGGAAAATTCTTATGAAATTATTACCAATTACTAATTAAAGTATCTGTTTTCCAGCGATCAAGTCTGTTTTGAAATATGACTCTTATTTCTCGAGATATAAATTCCTGAAGTTAATAAAAAATTTCTATCGTACTATAAGTAACTTTAAAAATTCCTAAAAAATCGAATCCTTGAGAAATTGTTATGAAATTATGACCAATTACTAGTTAAAGTATTTACTTTCCAATGATCAAGTCCTTTTTGAAATATCTCTCTTAGATCTTAAGATATTAAGTATTGAAGTTAATATAAATATTTAGGTTTTTTGAGTAGCTTTAAAAAAATCCTGAAAAATTAATTTCTTGGAAAATTGTTATGAAATTTACACCGATTATTAATTAAAGCACCCACATTACAATGAACAAGTCCGTTTTGAAATATCTCTCTTAGTTCTCGATATATTAAGTATTGAAGTTAATATTAATATTTTCGTTTTTTTGCGTAACAGTAAAAAATTCATAATAAATCGATTTCTTGGAAAATGGTTACAAAATTATCATCAATTTCTAATTAAAGCATCTACTTTCTAATAATACAGTCCGTTTTGAAATATCTTACTTAGTTCCTGAGATATAAATTGTTGAAGTTAATTGGAAATTTTTACCATATTTTGAATAACTTTTAAAATTCCTGAAAAATCGATTTCTTGGAAAATTCTTATGAAATTATTACCAATTACTAATTAAAGTATCTGTTTTCCAGCGATCAAGTCTGTTTTGAAATATGACTCTTATTTCTCGAGATATAAATTCCTGAAGTTAATAAAAAATTTCTATCGTACTATAAGTAACTTTAAAAATTCCTAAAAAATCGAATCCTTGAGAAATTGTTATGAAATTATGACCAATTACTAGTTAAAGTATTTACTTTCCAATGATCAAGTCTGTTTTGAAATATCTCTCTTAGATCTTAAGATATTAAGTATTGAAGTTAATATAAATATTTAGGTTTTTTGAGTAGCTTTAAAAAAATCCTGAAAAATTAATTTCTTGGAAAATTGTTATGAAATTTACACCGATTATTAATTAAAGCACCCACATTACAATGAACAAGTCCGTTTTGAAATATCTCTCTTAGTTCTCGATATATTAAGTATTGAAGTTAATATTAATATTTTCGTTTTTTTGCGTAACAGTAAAAAATTCATAATAAATCGATTTCTTGGAAAATGGTTACAAAATTATCATCAATTTCTAATTAAAGCATCTACTTTCTAATAATACAGTCCGTTTTGAAATATCTTACTTAGTTCCTGAGATATAAATTGTTGAAGTTAATTGGAAATTTTTACCATATTTTGAATAACTTTTAAAATTCCTGAAAAATCGATTTCTTGGAAAATTCTTATGAAATTATTACCAATTACTAATTAAAGTATCTGTTTTCCAGCGATCAAGTCTGTTTTGAAATATGACTCTTATTTCTCGAGATATAAATTCCTGAAGTTAATAAAAAATTTCTATCGTACTATAAGTAACTTTAAAAATTCCTAAAAAATCGAATCCTTGAGAAATTGTTATGAAATTATGACCAATTACTAGTTAAAGTATTTACTTTCCAATGATCAAGTCTGTTTTGAAATATCTCTCTTAGATCTTAAGATATTAAGTATTGAAGTTAATATAAATATTTAGGTTTTTTGAGTAGCTTTAAAAAAATCCTGAAAAATTAATTTCTTGGAAAATTGTTATGAAATTTTCACCAATTATTAATTAAAACACCCCCATTACAATGAACAAGTCCGTTTTGAAATATCTCTCTTACTTTTCGAGATATTAAGTATTGAAGTTAATATTAATATTGACGTTTTTTTGAGTAACATTAAAAAATTCCTAAAAAATCGATTTCTTGGAAAATGGTTACAACATTATCATCGATTATTAATTAAAGCATCTACTTTCTAATAATACAGTCCGTTTTGAAATATCTTACTTATTCCTGAAAAATCGAGGTCTTGGAAAATTGTTATGAAATTATTATCAATTACTAATTAAAGTATCTGTTTTCCAGCTATCAAGTCCGTTTGGAAATATCACTCTTAGTTCTCGAGATACAAATTCCTGAAGTTAATTAGAAATTTTTACCGTGATATAAATAACTTTAAAAATTTCTGAAAAATCGAATCCTTGAGAAATTATTATGAAATTATCACCACTTACTACCTAAAGTATCTGTTTTCCAGTGATCAAGTCTGTTTTAAAATATCTCTCTTAGATCTTAAGATATTAAGTATTGAAGTTAATATAAATATTTACGTTTTTTGAGTAGCTTTAAAAAATCCTGAAAAATCGATTTCTTGGAAAATTGCTATATTGCACTATTTATTAAGTAAAGCACCCCCTTTCCAATGAACAAATCTATTTTGAAATATCTCGCTTAGTTCTTAAGATATTGTATTGAAGTTAATAGAAGTATTTGCGTTTTTTGAGTAGCTGTAAAAAATCCTGAAGGATGGATTTCATGGAAAATTGTTATAAAATTTTCACCAATTATTAATTAAAGCACCCCTATTACAATGAACAAGTCCGTTTTAAAATATCTTTCTTAGTTCTCGAGATATTAAATATTGAAGTTAATATTAGTATTTACGTTTTTTTGAGTAACATGAAAAAATTCCTAAAAAATCGATTTCTTGGAAAATTGTTATGAAATTATTATCAATTACTAATTAATGTATCTGTTTTCCAGTGATCCAGTCCATTTTGAAATATCACTCTTAGTTCTCGAGATAGAAATTCTTGAAGTTAATTAGAAATTTGTACCGTATTATGAGAAACTTTAAAAATTCCTAAAAAATCGAATCCTTGAGAAATTGTTATGAAATTATCACCAATTACTAGCTAAAGTATTTACTTTCCAATGATCAAGTCCTTTTTGAAATATCTCTCTTAGATCTTAAGATATTAAGTATTGAAGTTAATATAAATATTTAGGTTTTTTGAGTAGCTTTAAAAAAATCCTGAAAAATTAATTTCTTGGAAAATTGTTATGAAATTTACACCGATTATTAATTAAAGCACCCACATTACAATGAACAAGTCCGTTTTGAAATATCTCTCTTAGTTCTCGATATATTAAGTATTGAAGTTAATATTAATATTTTCGTTTTTTTGCGTAACAGTAAAAAATTCATAATAAATCGATTTCTTGGAAAATGGTTACAAAATTATCATCAATTTCTAATTAAAGCATCTACTTTCTAATAATACAGTCCGTTTTGAAATATCTTACTTAGTTCCTGAGATATAAATTGTTGAAGTTAATTGGAAATTTTTACCATATTTTGAATAACTTTTAAAATTCCTGAAAAATCGATTTCTTGGAAAATTCTTATGAAATTATTACCAATTACTAATTAAAGTATCTGTTTTCCAGCGATCAAGTCTGTTTTGAAATATGACTCTTATTTCTCGAGATATAAATTCCTGAAGTTAATAAGAAATTTCTAACGTACTATAAGTAACTTTAAAAATTCCTGAAAAATCGAATACTTGAGAAATTGTTATGAAATTATCACCAATTATTAATTAAAGCACCCCCATTACAATGAACAAGTTCGTTTTGAAATATCTTTCTTAGTTCTCGAGATATTAAATATTGAAGTTAATATTAGTATTTACGTTTTTTTGAGTAACATTAAAAAATTCCTAAAAAATCGATTTCTTGGAAAATGGTTACAAAATTATCATCGATTACTAATTAAAGCATCTACTTTCTAATGATAAAGTTCGTTTTGAAATATCTTACTTAATTCTTGAGATATAAATTGCTGAAGTTAATTGGAAATTTTTACCATATTTTGAATAACTTTAAAAAATTCCTGAAAAATCGATTTCTTGAAAAATTGTTATGAAATTATTACCAATTACTAACTAAAGTATCTACTATCCAATGATCAAGTCCGTTTTGAAGTATCACTCTTAGTTCATGAGATATAAATTACTGAACTTGATTAGAAATTTTTTTCGTATTTGAGTAACTAAAAATTTCTGAAAAATTTATTTCTTGGAAAGTTTTTATGAAATTTTCACCAATTATTAATAAAAGTAGCCACTTTCCAATGATTTAGTCTGTTTTGAAATATCTCTCTTAGATCTTAAGATATTAAGTATTGAAGTTAATATCAATATTTACGTTTTTGAGTAGCTTTAAGAAATCTTGAAAAATCGATTTCTGGGAAAATTGTTATGAAATTTTCAACAATTTAGCTGATCCCACTTCTATTCCAAGACATTCATTAAGAACTAAGATAGTTATTAGTTATATATTAGTTAAATAACGTTGAATGATATAATTTTTTCTTTTTAATATAGATTTATGAGTTCAAAATCGGGTCGAATTTATCTACACAGCGACATACGTTTAGTGATTTCAAGAAAAACCGATTTGGACACAGCAACGGGTCACGGAGATGGAATGCACGAGTTACGCAGTTTCACCCACATGCCCACAAATCCAAAATACACCTCGATTAAGTAACATGAGTCCGCTGCAGCGTTAGGTTCTTCTTCATCTCCGGAACATAAACCGAGAAGAACTTTAACCTATTTGAAACTAATATGTTGTTCGGTATAAAAGAAATAATTCAAAAAAAAAAATAAACACTAAATGTTAATGGAGTTCAGAGAAGAGTTATTTTTAACGCACATTGACTATTGACATGCAACATATTTTGATTTCATAAAAAAAATATAGTGAATGAAGCGAGTTAATAGAAGATGAGCGTTGGATTTGAAAAAAATTTAAATAAATTAAATTAAAGCAAAAACGTGTTGTGCAGTAGGAATAAAAATATCAGCATTTTCTTCGTCGTTGTCGTCCAAGAGTATCGTTGAGTAGTGGAAATAGCTCATTACTGCCATTTCAAATGTGTATAAACACTAATTATTATTATACTTGGTTAACAAATAACAAAAACAATTATTACTATTATTATTAACTATTATTATTGTAAATAATTTATTTCGTTTATTGTTTATGTATTTACTATGCTGAGGGTTTTTATAATTCATAACATAATTTTAATAATAATAATATGTTATGAATTAAAGAAACTTTATGCATAACGTGATTTTTAAATTTTGCAACAAACTTACTCAAATTATCATTTTGTTTGGAAACTTTTAGAGTAAATTTGTTGCAAAGCTTATAAATTATATATTGTCCTTATATTTCTTCTTTTATTTTATTACTTATAAAAAGTTAATTTTCACTCTTGTTACTTTAATGGTATTAATCAAAGATAAATTTTTTTGGGGTTATTAATGTGGGAAAATTATTATTAAAAAAAAATAAATAAAAATTAGATAGGAAGCTTGTTTGTGGTTAAAATTAGGTTCGATTTGGTTTCGTTTAAGATATCTTTCTTTAAAACAAAAAAAAATACAATTTATTATTTTGTAAAAATTATTTTTGGACGTATCTATTTTAGAATACAGATTGATGGAGTTATTATGGATTAAAACTTAACAGTGTTAGTACCAATAAAGTTGTGAGTAAAACACTAGCAGGGCTTTCTCTCTGCAGCAAGAATAAATCAATATTTATTATACATACATAATTTTTTTATTAGATGATTCAATAAATGTGAGAAATAGATGGACTATTTGTTTTATTTAAAATTTATTTGGTTTTTCTCTAATTTCAACAAAGAGTTGTTTTTCAATTAAGGGTAAAGTATATTTATCATAACTTATGTTATAACTAACATAAACTGGTTTTTTTAAATATTTTGAAACCTTAGAAGCTAAAAGACAGGATTTTTCTTCGTTTGAGTTCCCAATAAGTTGAGTTGTTACAGGTAACGTTTGATAACGATTTAACATAGCCAAACTCAAATCATCCAAGGATTTATTGTCTTTGTAGTTGATAAATATCATCAGGGAATCTTGCATTTTAAGTATTTGATATAAAATTCTTCTTTCTGCGATTTCCGTTGAAAATATGTGCAAACTAAAACCTTCTCGCGGTGACATTTTATTTTCTTCAAGACACAACAAAATAATTGTAAAAAAGTTAGGTTAGCTTTTATGACAGCTTATAAAATGACAATACATAATAATAATGTGAAGTTAGTTGCAAAACTTGTTTAAATTAAAACAACATTAAATTATAAACAAAATTATTTATAACAAAGTTGTTTTTATTTCTGTGTTCCATTTTGTTTATTACATAAACAGAATAAATACAAGTTAAGTAATTTGGGAATATTTTATTATGAATTGAAACTATCTTCAGGAAGGTTTTACTGTGAGGTCATTGGAAGAATTGACATTTCTATGTTTTTATTTATACAATGTATTTCACTTAAGAAGCAATATACAAAAATATAAAAAAAAAGATAAAATAAAGTTAAAAATATATTAAAATATAAAGCGAAATATTAACGGTTATAATTTTATTATTGTTAGGTTATCCAACTTGACTCGGTTACCATGGTGATTAATATCCAAATATTGCAGGTGCTTGTCAAAATTGAAATTGAATTTAAGTTTTTTTAAGGAAAAAGTCTTATTAAATTAGTTGAAAAGGCTGTATTTAACTCAAAATTGGTTTATCTAATTAAGGTATTATAAACAAGGTAAGTGACTTAAATCAAAAAAAGATGTTTTTAATTTATTTCTCTTAATTAGAATCGATTTAAATTAACAACAATTGACGAATTTCAATGCGAGATAATCGTAAAAAATTCAAATTGTTAGAATAAAATTAGTTAAATAAAAATTAGGTTAGAATTGATAAAAAAATGGGAATAATATTTTATTATTTTAAGGTTATCCAACTTGACTCGGTTACCATGGTGATTAAGATCCAAATATTGCAGTTGCTTGTCAAAATTGACGTTGAATTTAAGTTTTTTTAATGAAAAACACATAATTAATTGGATTTAAAGGTTGTATTTCATTGAAAATGGTAAATCGTTGAAATTATAAGCAAGGTAAGTGGATTAAATAAAAAAAAATATTTTTAGATCAATTAAAATATACAAGAATGTAGGGTTAAATATCATTTAAAAGTAGAACTAACACTAGACCTAGAACTAGAAAGTTTTAGGTTTAGCCGGGCCTCTTAGACAACAACTTAGAAAAGTCTGAAGACGCACGGCTAAACCCGAATATTTCTAGTTCAAGGTCTAGTGTTAGTTCTAGTTTTACACTAGCAGTATCACTAGAGCTCACACAAGACCTAGAACTACAAATAGTCATGTTTAGTCGTGAAAAAAACTTTCAGTTGTCAATGTCAACTTTAATTTTATTATTATATTCGTAATCTTCATAAAATAACCTTTAAACTGAGTCCAAACTTGACACATTTATCTCAAAAAACCAAAAAGTTCGAACTTTCAACTTTTAATTTTGACATATTTGTCAACTTCATAAAAAATCCTTTAAAATGAGTCCAAACTCGGCATATTTAATTTTAATATTAATGGAAATACAATTACTTCCGGTTTGAAACGTCAACGTCAATTTTGACATATTTGTCATCTTCATTAAAAAACCTTTAAAATGAGTCTAAAGATGACGCACTTATCCCAGAAAACAAAAAAGTTTGAATAAAAACGTTAAACCCGAAGTTAGCAACCATGAAGATAGCAATTTAATTTTTAAATATTAATGCCAACCTTAATTTTTTATTATATTTTTGTGATAAATTTTAAGACATTTTATAAAAATTAAGAATTTGTGAAAATGACATTGTCATTTCAAACCGGAAGTTGCTTATATCTCGACTAATATTGGAATTAAACGTATCATGTTTGGGCTCATTTTAAGGGATTTTTCACGACAATTACAAATATATCAAAATTGACGTTGACATTTCTAACCGGAAGTTGGCCATAACTTCATTAATATTGAAGATAGATATGTCGTGTTTGTACTCATTTTAAAGGATTTTTAATGAAGATTACAAATATGTCAAAATTGAGGTTGACATTTTAAATCTGAAGTTAGTTATCATATAATAGACAAATGGACAACTTCATGGTGTTCTTTATTGATGTATTCTTTATTAAAAAAACCATTAAAATGAGTCCAAACATGATGTTGCTAGATATCACTATATTGTATATTTTTATTGCACTAAAACTAGAACTAACACTAGACCTAGAACTAGAAAGCTTCGGGTTAAATTTTTTTATTTAATTTCAATTATATTTTTATTATTTTTTTATTAAATTTTTATGTTTAAATTTTTTTTTTTAATTTAAACATAAAAACAATCATATAAATTGCCTTATCGATCAAGTTCATAAGCAGCAGAATTTGACTGGTGGTAAAAGGGCTATATAAGCCCAGACACCAAGTTGTTATCCCTGGTTTTAAGAAGAAGAAGAATATCACAACATTTTGTAGAAGAGAAGATTATGTGCAAGAGCAAAATATCATAGGTAAAAACAAAATATTAGCTGTAGAATATATGAAACGAAGACATATATGATTAACAATAGTTGTTGTGTTATTTTTATTAAATCTTGATTCGAAATGGAAACTTTTAGCTTTAATTTAGGATATAAATCATTTCCTAACTCATCCAAATAAAGATAAAGGTCACTCTATCAAAGTAGCAGCTTTTGTAATAAGACTCTTTTAGGAGAAACTTTTTATATAAAATCACATTATTTGTATACCATATGTAAAAGTAGAGCGCTTTAGCTTTAATTTAAGACCTAAATCATTTCCTAATTTCCCACAATAAGGTTGATATCATGATATCGACCTTAATATTTTCACTTCTTTTTATACCACTTTCAATAATAGAGTGTTTTAGCTTTAATTTGGGATATACATATATGTTACTGTAAAAGCCCAAACTACAGCAAATCCTAAGATTTACCAACTCTGAATGATAAAAGTCCGAAATGTTCTGTGATCATTGTTCATTTCGAATTTTTACCACATCCACTCGGTAAATTTTAGGTTGCACTGCAAAGACACGGTAAAGACTGCAGCTATGCCAGCCTTGTCAAAACAAAAACAGAAGACTTTGAAAAAGTGTATTGTCATCAAGCCTATACTTCATAATGAAATTAACTCACGTTGTCAAGTAGATCTAATAGATCTACAAACTAATCCTGAAAGAAATTATAAATTCATTTTAGTTTACCAAGACCATCTCACTAAATTTGTGATTCTTCGTGCACTTCAATCTAAACGCACAGCAGACCCACCACCACTACCATTTTTTCGATATTTTCACCACTTTTTCAGCAACAAACATCCTTCATTCCGATAATGGTCGAGAATTTTGTAACCAAGTTGTTGAAAGTTTATGCTCTCTGTGGCCGAACGTTAAAATAGTATATGGGAAGCCCAGACACAGTTAGACTCAGGGATCAGTAGAGCGGGCCAATTAAGATATCGAAAATATGTTGAGCAAGTGGATGGAAACAAATCAGTTAACAAAGTGGTCAGAGGGTTTGAATTTCATCCAGGCAATGAAACATAGAGCATATCACGAGAGCCAGAAAATTATCTCTTGTTTAAAAAATCCCCACACTTACCAACTCATGTTGGTAAATCTTAAGATTTACTAGTTAAACCTAAGATTTACCGTAGTTCTAGTTTTTACCGTAGAGATCAATATACAGGGTGTCTCACGTAACTGGTTCGTTAGAACTTTTTTAGGTTCCACTATTCGTAGAGGTTTGAAATTTTGGTAGCATGGGTTGTTCATTCTAAACTTTCAATCTAAAATATTTTCAAGATGGCCACCACTTCAGGTCTACCGGAAATAGACCACAACTTCGTTATTTTAAATGGAATGCTATAGTTTTTATTACACCTTTCAATTATACATAAAAAAATATGTTGACTTTGATAAAAGTTGTTGGTACCTACCATTTTTTGTTTTCGAGTTATTTTGATTTTAAGCTTTTTTTGGCAAATTTCACCATGCTCTTTAAAAGCCTATATCTCAGTTAACGTTCATTAAAAAAACCTCTAAATTGGCACGATTACTCTTCAGATGTTGCCAAATAGATTGTCATTTCTTGTATCAGAGTATCTTATACAGGGTGGTCAAAAATTGAATTACCGTTTCTCCATATTCAATGGCTAGAAAGTCGAAAATTTTAAATGGAATACCCCGTATTTTTTTACCCTATCAGAAAGGGAATTTAATTCTCTACAAATTATCTATAAACATTCCTATACCTATTTATTGTAGTTTCCCTGATATTGGGACATTAATCAAAGCATGCACGGAATGCGGGAAAACGTTTGATTTTTTTATTAGAAGGCAATGGAATTTTGACAGTTTTTGGTCCATATTTGTGTTATTGTTGTTGTTACTTACTTTTGATCACGAGTGAAAGTCATTGTATATCATGGCAAATTATTCCAACGCCGATATTTTAAATTTGTTTTATATTCATGGCAATGGCCTCCACGATCTCCAGATTTAACACCATTGGATTTTTATTTGTGGGGTCACTTAAAAAATCAAGTGTACAATTCACCGATCAACACACGACAAGAGTTGCGTGATAGAGTGATGCGTGCACTACGTACTATTGATGGCGACCAACTTCTACGGGCCACAACCGTAGAAGTCGAAAGAAGAGTTGAAAAATGTTTAATGGTGAATGGTCAGCATATC